AGTCCACGTGACGAGGCCGCAAGCGCACACACCTTGAGAATTTGCAGTTGGACGTTGTCGTCGGGATAGGTCTTCTCGCCCTTACGCTTCTGGAAGCCGGTGTTGATGACGAAGAGCACCCGCTCGATGAGCTTCTTGTCCTGCTGCTCGATATCCACAGCCGCGCCGTTGATGTATCCATAGAGCAGCAGTTTCTGTCGAACACGAAGAGGGTGAGCAGGAAACACACACAGTAACAACAAAACAGCTCCAACGGTGTATGCACCTGGAAGCAGTCGAGGGCCATCGACATGAGTGAGTACTGGCGCGACTCGCAGGCCAGCTGAAGAGGCACAATGATCTTTCCCACCAGATCGTTCAACCGCTTCTGGTCGGCCGCCGCGAGTTCGTCCTGATCAATCTCACTGCACATGCACGTGAGCCCCTCTTTGCCTGGCAAATTCATCTCATCACAGAAAGCTGGCCAGACGTACATTTTGGAGATGAAGTTCTTGTTCTTCTTCATTAACTCTGGATTATGGCAAATAATGATTAAGTAAGGGTGCATCTTGCGCAGGTCGCAGGACGGCGAATTTGATCGTTTGATTAATCATTATTGTAGAGAGATTGGGACTGATTAGAGCGTACCGATGGCGGAAGTGCAAGACTCGCGCAATTTAGTGTTGCGCTTTGGGGCCTCATCGAAGATGGACTGAAGCGCCTTGTTGATGAACATGGACATGGTCTGACCGTGGGGCCATCGCTGCCGCCTTTTGACCCTGAGCCGCCTGTGCTCAGACGTCTGCTGGGCGTAGTGCTCCCACTCGTGCCCAATGAGGGGGCAGCCGATGTCGTTACACCACTGCTCGCATCTATCGAATCCGCCTTTCCATTCGACGCAGGAGACCCCCTGCACCGTCTCCTCGGTTTGCATCATCTGTATCTCTCTCTATCCCCGCTCTCTTGGATGTCCTTCGGCTTCTCTTCTTCTGGAAGAGTCCACCTGCACCTTCGATGCTTCGGTTCGGGAGTGGATCGACTCGGACCGCCGAACCCGCAACGCAGCGTGCCTAAGCAAGAAATTCGCGAAGAAAATGCCCGCATATTTCGCATATTTCAGAATGCCGACGTGGCCCCCAAACAAATCCATCCGTCGCAAGCTCCAACCGGAGAAGGCACGAGTGCTGGCTTCGGGCCGGATTGGTTTGTTGTCAACGGCCACGAAGTTATTTGAACGCCTGCTCCTTGTCGAGGACGATGGCGAGCTTCTCCTCGAGCTTGGCGTAGTGTTCCGTTCCCTTGAAGTTGGGCTGCGAGACGCGCGGCAAGTTAGCACTCGATGTGTGGGACGCGCGGTGCGCCGCGCTCTTTGAGGGCGAGAAGGGGATTGTGTGCGCACCTCGGCCTTCTTCAACACTCCACGGAGGTGCAGCTTGGCGGAGAAGAGGCTCTTCTTGA